ACCACATTACTTTAAATGTTAAGCAAGTAGGTAGTTAACAAAAAAATTGAAGCAACCTACATTAAACAAACTTTGGAGAGAATAGCAATTAAGTGTTTTTAATTTGCAATGAAATTTAAGGCAAGTGGCACGGAAATCCATTAAATTTCATTCCCAAAAAAAAAGTCATACTATCACTTTCTGATCCGTTCGGTTAGAGAGACAACTTAATGCATTAGCATGAAAGCATAGGTTTTAATATCTAAGTAGAAAAATGCGCCACGCGTTTTTCTAGTTCACCTGTCCTATTTGGTTATCAAGACCCCCGGAGGTGTATTTTATACTTTTGAAGGCACATAAAAACGTTATTTTTAGATTAATTTTTTAATCTACTTTAGTTATTTGTTATTGGCTTCAAAAATATATTCTTAAATTGATATATATATATATATTAGTCAAATTTATGTCAAATATATTTTATAGGTTCTAATAATTAGTCTAAAAAAATTCAATTTTATAAACTGTTATAAATAAAATATAAAAACTGGTGTTTGTTTATTATACAATTATTTATTTTATTTTTACAGGTATTGAAATGTATGATGATCAAAAGAAAAGTATATACGCATTTATTTATTTATCACAAATTACCCAAATATTTAATTGCGTAACTTTATGATTATTCATTATTTTATTGTTAACTTCAAAATAATATTATAAATTTGAAACGTATTATTCAGATTTATGTCAATATTTATAGATCCAAATATTTAGTCTAAAATCTAAATAAACTCGATTGTGAATACTGTTATAGATGAAATATAAAAGCTAGTTCTTGTTTATTAAATTGTGAATTATTAAAAAAAATTGTACGGATGTCGAAACTTCTAATGGGAAAAATAAATGTAATTACGCATTTATTTGTTAATCGTACATAGCCCTAAGACTTAATTGTACAAGTTAACTAACATTTATTAATTTTTGACTTAAAATAATATTCTAAATTTGAAATATATTAATCAGATTTACGTTAATATTTATAGGTCCTAATATTTCGTCTAAACAAACTCAGTTTTAAATACTTTTATAGATAAAAAAATAAAAACTGTTTTTTGTTTATTATACAATTGTTTAAGTTTTTTTTACAGACATAAATTATTCTGACGAAGAAAAGAAAAGTAACTACGCATTTATTTGTTAATCGTAAATAGCCCTAATTATATGAGTTAATGATTATTTATTTTTTGTTATTGGCTTCAAAATAATAATCTTAATTTGGACAAAATACTGTAATAGATAAAATAAAAAAACCGGTTTGATTAACTGTATAATTTATACGGTTTATGTTATATATGGTTTATGTTTATTATAGAAACTAATATACATGTTTATTATACAATTTTTAAAATTTTGTTTACAGGTATTGAATTTTCTTATGATGAAAAGAAAAGTAATTACGCATTTCTTTGTTAATCGTAAATAGCCCCAAGACTTTATTGCGTGACGAGTTAATGATTATTCATATTTTGTTTGAAATATATCTTTCAGATTTAATTTAGTATTTATAGATCTTTAAAATATAAAAATGGTTTTCATTTACTGTAAAATTATGGAACACATTTTTGTTACAGGTATTCTTGTTCCTCTTCTTGGAGGAAAAAGTAATTATACCTACGCGTTTATTTATTAATCTTAATTAGTCCTATGAGTTGATTGCGTGACTTGACGATTATTCATTTTGGTCATTAGGTCCTAATGTTGAGTCTAGATAAACTCAGTTTTATATATTGTTATAGATAAAATATAATAATGGTTTTTATTTTAATTTTATAATTATTACAATACTTTTTACAGATATTAAAAATTCTGATGAAAGCTTTGATGATGAAAGTTCTGTTGAAATTTCTGATAGGAAAAAGAAAAGTAATTACGCATTTATTTGTTAATCGTAAATAGCTCTAAGTAAGATATGAGTTAATGATTATTTATTTTTTGTTATTGACTTTAAAATAATGTTCTCAATTTGAAATATTTTAGCCAAAAACATGTAAATATTTATAGGTCACAATAATTTGTTAAAATAAACTCAGTTAAATACTTTAATAGATAAAAAATAAAAACTGGTTTGATTAACTGTATAATTTTGCAATATTTTTGTTACAGATCCAAAAAAAAGTAAATACGCATTTATTAATTAATCACAAATAACCCAAAGATTTAATTGTGTGACTTAATAATTGTACATTTTTTGTTATTGTCTTTAAAATAATATTCTAAATTTTAAATAAATAAAACAGTCTTTTGCTAATAGGTTTTTAGGTTCATACAAAAGCTGAATAAAGTGCTAATAGTAGATTAATATTTTATTATGTTTTAATTTTAAAAATATTACCATTCAAATATACTTTGAACATTTTTCATGTTTCTTGATAGATTTACTCAAAAAGGTTTTAGGAGCGGTTTGACCATAAGGCAAGTCTTATGTATGATGTACACTGTTCAACAGCAGACAGTCAATTTGGGACAAAATGCCCAAACGTTTTGTTGTAATTTTAAGATGGTGTCAACATTAATTATTAAATAATGACGATTATTAAGTTGCATATTTTATATTTGTTTAATATTCTTATTGTATTATTTTTTAAAATTATTGTTTTTTTTTTATTCTAGATTTATTGCATACTTTTAAGGAAAGTTTTAAGTGTGCATCAATAGGTAATTATTATAATTATACAAAACATAAATAAAAAAACGTATAATACAGTATTTGAATTGATATAAAAAAGTTCAGCATTGATTTACCTATATGCAAATTTATCAGTGATATATCTTACAACAATACCGAGTATGCTTACACATTATTTTTTTTAACTGACAAAAAAAAAAATTGTTTATGTTAATAGTATACGTGAAACAATCACGAAACAAATAGTAATATAATTTTAAAGACACATTTGCTCAGGAATTAAAAGTAGTGAGTATTAAAAGGCATATACTTAGTTTTAACAATACATGTTTACAAGTCTGTTAGCTTTTTTAATATCTATTTCGAATAACAACAACTTAAATCTCGTATGGTTAATAACTTTTGACTCCTTGAATTATTTTGCTTCTCATAAACCTATTTAAGTTTAAAGTATAGACAAATTACTACCTACGAGTTCACCATAAGGAAAGTTAAACAAAAAAATTACATTGAATGTATTATGTACTCCATTAATAACACGAGCACACAATTTTTTTATGTATAATATTTTCGCCATCAACACGGTTATTTATTGATTTGTACAGATTTTGAAGACCGCGAATTGTTAGAACTTGGAAAAGTCAGAAGAGAGCTAACTGGAAAAGTCACAAAAAAAATGGTCGAGTACATAGCACGTAAGTATCATATTAAATTGTAATATTTACATTTATATTTTATATAATAGACATATTCTGAAAAACGGTTCAGATGAACTTGAAAGTTCTCAGAACTTTAAATGGCAGGATAAAAATAAAAATAAATTTCTCCGCTCACTTTGACTTGAACTCTTGTCTGAAGGCACCTATTTGACGTTTACATTTAATTAACACAGACAATGACACATTTTTTTTACTGCTCAAGTAACAAAAACTAAATATGACGACTATTGGAAGTGGTTGTTGACTGGTGTATTGAATTTTAGTTTGTTGTTTAAATTGTTCAAATTTGTTTTTTTTTTTCAATGCCCAATGTATTTTTTGTGATCGTCAATTAACAACACATTTCAACACCTCTTTTTTCACAAAAACTGAAAGAGTTAATAATCTACAACAATATAACAAGAATAGAACCTATTTCATATCATTTATCCTAATAAGTGATGACCAAATTGGTCAATTGTAAATATATAATATTTATCCACACTTACATAAATTTGGACAATACGGACAATTTGTATATTGTATTTATACACGTTTATTAGTGATGTCTTACACAATACATAAATGCAATATCTAGTAAGTTAAGTTTGGAAACTGTTTGAATAAAGCTTTTTTAATTTTTTTAGACTATAACGTCGATAAAGATTTCACAGATATTGACCCGAATTGTCGGCTAATAGGATTGCACGCAAGTATAGTACACCCGGAATCATATGTAATACAATTTCGATGCTTTGGTGATCGCAATTGCCGATTTAATTGTATAGACGGAAGTAAGGAATCAATGCCTGGCTTGGGGCACGTTACACAATGAAAGTTTGTGATTTAGCTTAGAAAATAACCAGCATTAATAAAGTGAAAAGTTTTCACTTGGAAGCTGTTATTATAATTTAGACTGGGAATCTTAGAGTTAACTTATTAAAAAGTATGCAATACTATAGTTATTATATAAAAATAATTGTTCCAAATCGTATTTATATCCAAATTGTCAAATTTAATGTATCATGTAATAAATGTTTACGATTATAAACTCGTTTGTTGATTCTTATCGGATTGTACAAATTTGATTCTGTGAGAAAATATTTTGAAAATAGTTTCTTAGTTTTTTTTATTCAACCCATTTATTGGCTTAATGTAATCCATTTAAGCCCTATGTCTCAACCACCAATCTTTATAAATCTTTAAATTTTAAATTAAATAAAATCTGACATTAGATCTACCATAAATAAAAATATTAACCGAATATAAATACATTTGCTTCATTGATAAAAAAAAATATTGCTACATATTTTTTTAAAGATGATTTCATTCATGTAAGAAACTAGAAAACAAAAGCTACCACATAATATAAAATCTAACTTTTTTCATTGGTTAAGCCACACTAAAAAAATGAATAGTCAACTATAATTATAGAGTGACTTGACTAAAAGAAACTAATATTTTTAACATTAAATGGTACTAATAAAAATGCTTATACAAGTTATTATTCGAGACAAATAATTATGATGTTAAAATTTAACATCCTTATTGCAATCTCTAAAATTCTAAAAAATTATATTGAAAATATAATTGTTTTGTTATATTTTATATTAATATATATTTTTTTTATAGCCTTTAAATATTTATAATATGAGTTCTTTTTGGGCCACATAAAAATAATCGGCGGGCTGTATGCAGCCCAGGGGCCGCTGGTTGAGTATGGTTGTGTTAAATGCTAATATTTTATTCTTCTAAGATTCCAAGTAGAAAGCAATATTTTCTTCATCTCAAAAAAAATAATTTAATAATTATTAACTTACATCTCCTAATTTCTATAAAATGTCTAATCTAAAACAATATTATTTTTATTTTGTACATTTTTCGGTTATATCTACAAAAGACAAGTTCAAAATGAAGACGTTGACACAACTGAAAATATACAAAGTAACAATTTACTAATAGTAATAGTGTAATATCTATTATTCACAATATACAGTTTTTCAATACTAAAATATTGCACATCTAGACTCTAGTGCATATTGATATTTGAAACATACCTAACTAGTAACTGAATAATCATAAATGACATATTGATATGTAGCTTGATAAACCAATACTGACTATTGTAATCAGTGACAAATTGTACATTAAGGTTTCAACACATCATTATCTTTCCAGTAATCTTCTTAAAAAATGTCCTGCTAAAAAATACAAATTAAAATTTTAGTATAAGATATATTGTACTTACAGCTTTCTAGCGGTTAGTCATCAACATTTATTCCAGTTAAACTATAATTAACAACTGTTAATTGGCCATATAATAATATGATATTACGTATAGTATTAAATAAATCAGTAGGTATATTGTATAACTTGGTTGTTATGTTGAGTTTTCCAAGTCTTAAATACAAATTTCACTACTACTAATGAGAACTAAATTATATTTATGAAATCATTACATTCATTATAGTTACAGAATAAATTGTAAAATACATTTCACTACCCACAATTAGACATTTTAAAACACAATACTAGTTTCTTCTTTATATATAAAAAAAACTGTTCACAAATCACGAGTACACGTTGTTTGTCGTTTGACAATTTAAGTTTTACTCATACCATATTATAATGATACTGTGATAATAATATTAACGCTATATTATAATCTTACCGTAAAAGTGGTTTAAGGCAAAATCGTCCACATCGCAGTCTACTGATAATACATGTGAACGGATGACGGTTATGTAAGGTATATTTGTTTCCAAACAGGTGGATGAAGATTCGATTGTCCATATAATAATAAAAAAAAATTAGAGCCAGAGTTATTTATGTCTCATTATCGGTGACAGTATTATCGATAGGGTCCAATATTATCATTATTTACTGGCAAATAAAAGTGCTCCTGCTGAAAAACCGAACAAATATTGATTTTAATTTCATATCTTTACTAAGTCACAGAAAACGAACAGATAGTTGAAAATTTAAAATTTAAACGCTAACATTTTTTCAAAAAAAATTGTCTATAAACTTATGGAATTAAAAACATATGTTTCCATTTGAAAAAAAACGAGTTTCGTAGTTTTATAACGTATAAGGGTTGAAGATAAAAAAATTCTAAATATTGAAAAATGTAGTAAAATATGTACCTAAAAGTTTAGAAAAAAAAAATTCTCAAAATATTCAAATTTTCCGAGAAAATGAGTGTTTTACGTTAGTTGGATCACCCTGTATATATTTTTTCTTTCTGATTGAATACATCAATAATTGCAATGGAAGTCATAAATTTATGACTTTTAATTTCTCATAAACTATTAAAATAGGGGTTTCGTTATTGAGAAACAGCAATAGTACTATTTAATACTATTTATTAAAAATAAACAACTATATCTTAAATTTTTATAACATTATATATTTCAACTTATATTTATAAGCTTTACATTTTATCAAAGTATATATTACATCAATAGTGCGTTTGAAAAAATCAATGATTTGGAATTTTCACCGTTATTTACAAAAATGATACAATAATTTGTCCCTAGAAAAATTATGTCAGAGGCATTATTTCTATGTGTGCAACACTTTTCAAGTTATTAACAAAAGGTCAAATTTATGCTGTTCAATTAGGATAAATATTGATTTTAAATCAAACCCATTTTTGCAAAAAAAAAAAAGATGTCTTATAGTATGTATCAAAAATAAACAATGGCGGGTGGTTGTTGGTCAAATTTCAGAAAAATAATAATTTATAAACATACAACGATATAGTAATCGTATTGACCTTAATACAATTTTAAACACATTATTGACAACGATTTATGTATATACATCTACAGATAGACATCAAAGTGTTAATTTGACAGCGATTCTATCAATACATATGAATAACAATCCTAATAATTTTAATCACAATTTATATAGTTTTACTAGTCTTTTTGTATTGTGGAAAATAAGTTTGTTTATGCCCCTATTTTGTTTACAATTCATTGAGCAGCTATGGACTACTTATTATAAAACACCAACTCTTGGTCTAAAAGTTAGATTGAAAGTAGATCAAATGTAGGGCTATAACATACACAATTTTCTGAGAAATCTGTATTGAAAAATTTTTCAAACAAAGGCAACTTTAAAATCTAAAGGTATAGTTAATAAGTAGAATATTATAATGTGCACATATGTTTTGAGAATTATAATAAAAACATGTTTGAAGGCTTAACTCAAAAATGTAATAAGGTGACTCATGTACACACATATTTCTGTTTGAAAAATACTATAGATACTATATTGCTTTAACTTAATATAGTTGATACTTAGTTTACATAGGTTCATTTCAAAAAAAAAAATGTGTTGTATTGTGGTGTGTGTAGTACTTGTATACTTTGATATTTAATAAGCGCAAAACTAATATGTTATAATACATAACGGCCATTTGATTACTGCTTAAGCTACAGACTAATATCTTATCAGCTATAGTTGTTCTTGTGACAATGGACAGTGTGCACGGTAAGCAAAACATACAGCCTGATGATAATACATTTTGTACTACTGTTGAAACACCAGAAAAAAATTGACAATGATGATATAAAACAAGCTATTGGTATAAGAGAAACCCATTCTCACACTAGGGTTAATTTCCCCTAAATTAAAACATTTAGTTAAGTTTGGTGGGATGGTTACTTTAATTCGATTGGATGACTGAAAACTAGACTCTAACGGATTGATATTATTAACAACATGCATGTTCCTGGTATGATGAGGTCACGTTAATCAGTGCTAAGTCTGAATAGGAAAAACAAAAGGCCACTAATATAAGATATGAATAGGTTGGTGGTCGAGACATTGGGATTAAATGGATTACATTAAGCCAACAAATGAGTTTATAATCGTAATTAAAACTGTTTATTGCAAGATACATTAAATTTGACAATTTGGATATAATACAATTTGGAATAATTGTTTAAATATAATACCAATAGTAATGTATACATTTTAATAGGTGAACTCTGAGATACCTGGTCTAGATTATATTACCAGAGAAGCAAATGAATATTTTTCACTATATTATAATGATGATTATATTCTAAATGAAACCATACTTCATACATCAGTCCTCAAACATTGGTGTTGTACAGTGCCCGAAGCAAGGCATAGTTCGAATACTGTTGTCTATACCAGCAATTTTACAAAATAAATGATCATGTCTATTAGCTTGTACTATATATGATTCCGGGTGTTCTATACTCAACAGCAATCCTAGTAACCGACAGTTCACGTAAATGTCTGCTAAATCTTGATCGGCGCGGTGACCTAAAAAATAAAAAAAAGCTTCATTTAAACATTTTCCAAACTTAACTTACTGGTTACTATATTTATTTATTGTGTAACACACAACTAATACACGTGTATATATACAGTATACAGATTGTCTTTATTTCACAGCTATTTTATTCTCAGTCAATGACTTATTCAAATGGAGATAAAATGACAGGACACCCTGTTTATCATCAACTATTTTCCATGGAAATTCTATAATGCACCTTAAAAAAGTAAGCCCTAGTTTGTTTCATGAATTCATTAAAATCGTACAGGCTTTTATATTAAAAATAAAACATAGGAAATGGAAAATGAAGTTTTGCCTTGTTGAATATAACTTTGTAGTAGACTGTATTTGTAGTTTATATCAAATAGGTTATATTATTGTTATATTGGTACCTCTTACAGTTATCTAACATATCTAATATCTAAAATATTATTGAAACTATTACAATTTGAAATAATATTTACTTGTTAAGTCGATATCCAATCGTATTATAGCTTTATTAAGTAGTTTTCTTCTCGCTTTTCCAAGTTCTAACAATTCACGGTCATCAAAATCTGTACAAATTAATAAATAACTGTGTTGATATTAAAATATATCAAGAAATATAAAGAAAAATATAATACATAAAAAAAATGTATTGCTCGTGTTATATATATCAATTCCAATACTGTTTTATACATTTTTTATTTATGTTTTGTATAATTATAACAATTACCTATAGACTGATCAGTACCAACATTTTTCATCACAGTATGTTACAAATCTAGAATTGAAAAAAAATTATTTATAAAAAAGTTTCGAATAATACTATATGCATAATAGTACCTAAATATAAATAAAATATAAAAATTTAGAATATTAGTTTAAAGACAATAACAAAAAATTCAGTACAATCAATTAACAAACAAATGCGTAGTTACTTATGTCCTGAGAGATACCTGTAACAACAATATTTAAAATGTACACAGTTAATCAAACCAGTTTTTATATTTTATCTATAATAGTATATAAGTTTATTAAGGCTAATTTTAGGACTTATAAAATATATCGACATACATTTGACTCATATATATATCTATTTATGAATATTATTTTGAAGTCAATAACAAAAATTGAATAACAATTAGGTCTTAGGGCTATGTACGATTAACAAATAAATGCGTAATTACTTTTCTTATCATCGTCAGATATTTCAAAATCTGTAAAAAAAAAATAAATAATTGTATAATACACAAAACCCAGTTTTTATATTTTATAACAGTTACCAAAACTGAATTTTTTTAACCTAAATATTAAGATCTATAAAAAAAATTAATAATCATTAGGTCGCGCAATTAAGTCTTAGGACTATTTAAGATTAATAAATAAATCTATAATTACTATTTACTCCATGTTCAGGAACAAGAACAACTGTAATAAAAATATTTAATAATTTTACAATAAATGAAACGATTTTTATATTTTATCTACTAAAAAATCATTAATTCACAAAACTAAGTCTAATGACTATGTACGATTAACAAATAAATGTATAATTACTTTTCTTTTTCTTTTTCCATAACAGTGTCTATAAGTGAGTTTATTTAGACTAAACATAAGGACCTAATGAAAAACGAATAATCGTCAAGTTACGCAATTTAGTCTTAGGACTAATTAGGATTTATAAACAAACGCGTAGGTATAATTACTTTTTCCTCCATATGTAGGAACAAGAACACCTGTAACAAAAATATTAAAAAAATTTACAATAAATAAAAACCATTTATATATTTTATCTATAACAATATCTAAAACTGAGCATATTTTAACTAATTACTAAACATTTTAATAACCATATTCACATTCAAATAACCATCAAAACTATTAGTTAACAATATATAACTAATAGACACTGAACTCAAATTAAATTTTCATTGTTTTTGCTTTGAAATAACTAATTATTATTATTGAAATTGTGTATTTACAAATTATGATGTTTACCTAAAACTCTGGTTATTATCTTGTGGAATCTAGTTTGGTAATACTTGCATACTAAAAATGTTTAAAAAAAAAATAGTCATTCATTATATATATATATATATATATTATGCAATTATGACTTTATATAAAATGTGAATGAGATATTACTCCAGAGTCCTCTTTTAGCGATTGCCACCTCTGAAAGCGAGAACATTTTTTAAATTATTATGACAAAAATATGTGCTAATACGTTCATACATTTGGATAAAATTATTACCTGGTGCAGCTAACATTATAGCCATTATCTCTAAAATTGACATAACATAAATTTACATTGTTTTTATACAATGTGATCTCAATTTTTCACAATTTCTGTTTGTTATTATCCCCCCCCCCCACCTAGTTTTATTGTAAAATGTACTAACAGTTTTGAATGGTTGATAACCAGCTTTAAACAGATTTTTTTAAAGTTATAAGAGTTTAAAAGTTAGGACGGGAGGTTAAGTGCACTCAGATAAAAAAAAATACTACACTCTACCTTTCCCCCCCCCTAACTTGAAACTTCAATAACTTAATAAATAGTTATCCAAAACTGATTATCGAACGGTCAAAATTATTAGTACATTATTCTCAATATAAAAAATAATAAAATGTATATGTTACCATTTAAGTTTCAAAAGTTTATAAAAGAATAACTAGTTTGGAAGGGGAGTTGGAACATATAATACTGTGAAAAATCAAGATCACATTACATAAAACTACTAAGGGAAAAAAATGCAATTATTTATTATTAAGCCAATTCAAAAATATTGAATAATTCACTATAAAATGATAACGTTCTATAATAATTATAATTACCCATCGAAGTTCTTCCACGAACCAATTTTCTAATTACCCTATGCATTCTCTCTAGAATAAACAAATAATAGTTTGAGGTTTAAATTAAGTTATAATAATAAGTATTTGGTTTATATCTTTTTACACTTCTTAGGTTTAGTAGGCGCAGTCTATAGACAAGTTGTATGAAGTATATCAATTTTAAAACATTTTTATTTTCATAAATAAATAATTTACAAATTAACTATAGGTATTTGTGCTCTAAATATGTTTCAGTACATTATTTTTAAATACATACCTCCTGCAAGCTCGATTTTTTTGTCTGAAATAAAAAAATTAAAATAAGTTTACGCAAATATTTAAACTTAAAGTTAAATTTATATGATAAAAATTGAATTACTGACTTGTTTTGGCCATCTGAATCTTATAGTCCGCTGTAAAAAAAGTTAATTATTGTATTTTTTTTAGATTTTTAATTCCCCCGATTAGGTAAATGTAAACATAAAATACATAATAATTACCTATGTTAACTGATAAAACAGTAACAACGGCGAATGATATTAAAAAACAAAAATGTTTCATTTCTGTCTGCAAAAAATAATAAACATAAAGCCTTTTGTAATAGACAAAGTCGTTAATTAATTATGGACTCCTATGTGGAACTGAGAAGGTATTCGTTTTAAAATGTTAACTTTTTCACCACTGAACCAATTTGCTTATGTAGTTAAAAAAACATATTTGCTTTTTTCACAATAATATATATTGCATAATTATTAAGTTGAAAAGTATGCACATTTTATTGGTTGTTTTTTCTGATACTAAATGTGAACTTTTTAAAAAGTAGGTGAAATGAGGCACATTTTAGGTTAGATTTCTAATTAATAGACATGCTACACGAATAAAACGGTAACAATTTCTGTACTACATTAGAAATGAAAATAATCAATCGGTTAAGAGCTTATTGCAAATCTAAACACGGAATTAAAAAACATGGAAAATTAGAAAAACTTAATAAAAATGTTTAAAAAAACTCACTAGAAATCTTTCAAGTTATGGTAGAACTCTTGTGAACTTCAGTGTTAAAACAACAGTTTTAAAGTGATTCCTCTTGTTGGCCACTTGTTAACCGAAACAGTAAAATCTTTAAACATTTTTCAGTATGCAAATATATTTTGGTACGCTTACTTGTTTGTACAAATATGAAGCAAAGTTTAAACAATTTTTTTTGTAGCTATTTCTTCTACTATTACGATGGGCAACATACATAACAACTAAATGTTTTAATTTAGGGGAAATTAACCCTAGTGTGAGAATGGGTTTCTCTTATACCAATAGCTTGTTTTATATCATCATTGTCAATTTTTTTCTGGTGTTTCAACAGTAGTACAAAATGTATTATCATCAGGCTGTATGTTTTGCTTACCGTGCACACTGTCCATTGTCACAAGAACAACTATAGCTGATAAGATATTAGTCTGTAGCTTAAGCAGTAATCAAATGGCCGTTATGTATTATAACATATTAGTTTTGCGCTTATTAAATATCAATGTATACAAGTACTACACACACCACAATACAACACATTTTTTTTTTTGAAATGCACCTATGTAAACTAAGTATCAACTATATTAAGTTAAAGCAATATAGTATCTATAGTATTTTTCAAATAGAAATATGTGTGTACATGAGTCACCTTATTACATTTTTGAGTTAAGCCTTAAAACATGTTTTTATTATAATTCTCACAACATATGTGCACATTATAATATTCTACTTATTTACTATACCTTTAGATTTTAATAATAAATAGTCCATAGCTGCTCAATGAATTGTAAACAAAATATGGGCATAAACAAACTTATTTTCCACAATACAAAAAGACTAGTAAAACTATATAAATTGTGATTAGAATTATTAGGATATTATATTTTATTCATATGTATTAATAGAATCGCTGTCAAATTAACACTTTGATGTCTATCTGTAGATGTATATACATAAATCGTTGTCAATAATGTGTTTAAAATTGTATTAAGGTCAATACGATTACTATATCGTTGTATGTTTATAAATTATTATTTTTCTGAAATTTGACCAACAACCACCCGCCATTGTTTATTTTTGATACATACTATAAGACATCTTTTTTTTTTTGCAAAAATGGGTTTGATTTAAAATCAATATTTATCCTAATTGAACAGCATAAATTTGACCTTTTGTTAATAACTTGAAAAGTATTGCACACATAGAAATAATGCCTGTGACATAATTTTTCATATCCAAATAGTCAAATTTAATGTATCTTGTAATAAATGCTTACGATTATAAACTTATTTGTTGATTTTTATCGGATTGTACAAATTTAATTCTGTGAGAAAATATTTTGAAAAAAGTTTCTTAGTTTTTTTTATTCAACCCATTTATTGGCTTAATATAATCCATTTTAGTTCTACGCCTTAACCACAAATCTTCATAGCTTATATTAGTTGCCTTTTTTTTTACTTCATTTTTTCCCTATCTAGACATTATAAGATGTTTAAGCATTATAACTTTTGATGTTTTTTTTTTCAAATTGAAAATTGTATGCAAGAGTAACCTTAATATATTTTGTAGTTAGCATCAAAAACATATTCTTTATAATTAGAACAACACTTTAAGAATTTAAAGAGACTTCTGTACCTATAAAAAATTGTGTCGTAAGTCATATTCGATTAAAACTTTATTTAACGTTTACAATACTCTTCGACTAATTTACAAAAACCTTAAAATGTTTAACTTTTCTAAGCTATTAAATAGAACTCCAGTCTGATCAAATGTGAATTTTTAACATATTTAAGTACATATATATCAATAAGGCGTTGGAACAACCAATTTTGATTTGTAATAATTTTTACCGCTATTTGCCAAAATAAATAAAATTCACTTGACCAACTAAAATTGTAATATTATTCGGCGAGTGGTGCTTTTATAGTCCAATATAGTTAACCATGTATACCCGGTTACACATACATTCAAAATTTTCGTTTTTAAGTAGAATTATTTCTATATTATAATATTTGTTGTTTTTTAAACCCAAAAATTTTCTATATGAGTAACCATAATATTATTTTGCGCTAAACATAAAAATATGTTTTATAATAAATTTCACAAATCGTGTGCACAATATTTTTCTACTTATTAACTACACCTTTACATTTCTAAGAGGCCTCTGTACTTAAGAAAAGTTGTGTATACTAATATCGATAATAATTCTTTTAACAAAAACTGGAGGTTTTTCTTAACTAAATAAAAAATTACATATTTTAGGACATGTTATAGGGCCGTTCTAGACATACTTGTTGCCAATTTTTCAGACAATAAACCCTAACAGTTTGCTTGAAAAAGTGAAATAAGAAGAAATTGTAAATTCCTTCTAAGGGAAAGAGTTAATATATATTATTTATAGTTTACAGTAGGTATCTGTGAAGATCTGGATCCATTATTCTTAATAAATGTCAATATGTTATACTGTGACAAATTAAAACAACTTTGCCAAATCTGTTATGTCTTTTTATAAAGTTTAACTAATATAATAACTATAGTTTTTTTTTCAAACCAAAATATTTTTACAACAGTCACTTTAATACACTTTTTAAGTTAATCCTTAAAACATGGTTTTATTATAATTCTCACATCATACTGACACAAACTTAGAGCACACTTACCTATAGACGGTGACTACTGAGCCTAATAAGTGTAAAAATGTTTCAATAAAATACTTATTATTATAACCGACTTTATAGCTCAACCAATTATTTGTTTATTCTAGAGAGATTGCATAAGGTAATCAGAAAATTTAATCGTGAAAATACATCGATGGGTAATTATAATAATATTATACAAGGTCTCAATGGGCTTAATTAATAATTGAATTTTAAGTGTTTTGATGTAATGTGATCTTAATTTTTCACAAATTTGTATGTTACTATTTCCATTTCAAACTAATTATTTTTTTGTCAACTTTTGAAACTTACAACGCATACATATAACTGTTTTTGGAGTTATTGAAGTTTCAAGTTTAAGGCAGGTGAAAAGGTGGAGTATAGTAGGGTTTGTCATCTGCGTGCACTTCGATATAACAAAAAAAAAATTGGTAAAAATTGAGATCCACCATGAGAAAAATCATTAAAATTTTTTATTAAGCCCTATGAGGTATTGAGTGGTTCACAATTAAATTATCACTCCGTATGATAAAAAAAAACAATTTAAGCTTAGAAAACAGTATGAGTTGATAGTGAAATACAATCTAAATTTATCAATCTAAATTTATCTTATCTTAAGTGACAACGCATAATATCTTATCATTATATTATTTTCTAAGGAAGTATTGCACTTGCTTCACTTCAGAGGTTTTGTTCAGAGTTTCACTCTATGTTATGTAATAGAGCCATACCTACATTCCTTCCGAATTGATGATGATACCATTGTCTACAATAAAAAACTACAGCCAATATCATTAACTAATCCCTTTATATTATGTCAATTTCAGGGAAAATGGCTATAATGTTTGCTGCACCAGGTAATCATATTTCTCAAATGTATGGACGTATTTGAATATATTTTTATTTCATAAAAAGTATAATGTTCTCGTTTTCAGAGGTGGCACTCGTTAAAAAAAGACTCAGGAGTAATAAATCATATTATTTTATAATAAGTCATATATGCATAATTTTTATAAATTGAGATTTATGATGTACTTCAATGAAAAGATGTCATTATGTACATTGAATTAATAACTTTTTTTTTCAATTTTAGTATGCATGTGTTACCAAACTGAATTGCAAAGAACAATAACCATGGTCTTAGGTAAATATCATAATTTCAAAATAAACAATTTGAGTTCAGTCTTTTAGTAATATGTTTTTTGCCAAATGTTCGCATTTATTTATTGATCCTAATAGTCCTAAGTCTTAATTGCGTGACTTAATGATTATTGATTTTTTATGAGGTCCTAATATTTAGTTTAAATAAATACAGTTTTAGATACTGTTATAGAAAAAGTATAAACACTTGTTTATTACATAATTTTTAAAAATTTTTTTACAGATAACGCAATTTCTGACAGTGAAAAGAAAAGTAATTACGCACTTATTTGTTAATCGTACATAGCTCTAAGACTTAATTGTATGAGTTATTTATTATACTTTTTTTGTTATTGACATCAAAACATATTCTATATTTGAAATATATCTTTCAGATGCAAGTTAATATTTATAGATCTTTATATTTAGTCTAAGCAAACTCAGTTTTAGATATTGTTTTAGTTAAAATATATTAATGGTTTTTATTTACTGTAAAATTATTTAATATTTTTGTTACAGGTATCCCTGTTCCTGAAATTGAAGAAAAAAGTATTATAACTTCGCATTTATTTATTAGTCTTAATTAGTCCTAAGAGTTAATTGCGTGACTTAATGATTATTGATTTTTTATTAGGTCCTAATATTTAGTTTAAATACAGTTTTAGATACTGTTATACCTAGATAAAATAAAAAATGGTTTTTGTTTATTTTATAATTATTACAATACTTTTTACAGATATTGAAAATTCTGATGACAGCTTTGATGATGAAAGTTCTGATGAAATTTCCGATAGGTCAAAGAAAAGTAATTCGGCATTTATTTGTTAATCGTACATAACCCTAAGACGTAATTGTATAAGTTAATTAATAATAATTTTTTGTTTTTGACATAAAATAGTATTCTAAATTATTTGAAAAATATTAGTCAGATTGACGTCAATATTTATAGATCCTAATATTTAGTCTAAATAAACTTAGTTTTAAATACTTTTATAAATAAAATATAAAATCTGGTTTTTGTTTATTGTATAATTATTTATTTTATTTTTACAGATATTGAAATGTATGATGATCAAAAGAAAAGTAATTACGCAATTGTTTATCCCAAATAACCCAAAGATTTAATCGCGTAAATTAATGATTGTTCATTTGTTTATTGTTAACTTCAAAACAATATTCTAAATTTGACATGTATTTATCAGATTTATGTCAATATTTATAGATCCAAATATTTAGTCTAAAATCTAAATAAACTTGATTTAGATACTGTTATAGATGAAATATAAAAACTGGTTCTTGTTTATTATATAATTATTACAATTTTCTTTACAGATGTTGAAACTTCGGATGACAGTTCTGATTATGGAAGTTTTGACGGGGAAAAACAATGTAATTACGCATTTATTTGTTAATCGTGCATAACCCTAAGACTTAATTGTATAAGTTAATTAATAATAATTTTTTGTTTTTGACATAAAATAATATTCTAAATTTGAAATATATTAGTCAGATTGACGTCAATATTTTAGGTCCTAATATTTTGTCTTAATAAACTCAGTTTTAAATACAGTTATAGATAAAAAATAAAAACTGTTTTTTGTTTATTATATAATTATTTAAGTTTTTTTACAGACATAAATTATTCCGATGAAGAAGAGAAAAGTAACTACGCATTTATTTGTTAATCGTAAATAGCCCTAATTATATGAGTTAATGATTATTTATTTTTTGTTATTGGCTTCAAAATAATGTTCTCAATTTGAAATATTTTAGCCAAAAATATGTAAATATTTATAGGTTACAATAATTAGTTTAAATAAACTCAGTTAAATAATGTAATAGATAAAATATAAAAACTGGTTTGATCAACTGTATAATTTTGCAATATTTTTGTTATAGGCCCTAAAAAAAGTAAATACGCCTTTATCAATTAATCACAAATAACCCAAAGATTTAATTGTGTGACTTAATAACTGTACATTTATTGTTATTGTCTTTAAAATAATATTCTAAATTTTAAATAAATAAAAAAAATTGTTTGCTTATAGGTGTTTAGGTTCTTCATAACTTCATACAAAAGCAGAACAAAGTGCTAATAATAGATTATAATATTTTATTACGTTTTAATTATAAAAATATTATCATTTAAATATACACTAAAACATTTTTCATGTTTCTTGATAAATTTGCTCCAGAAGGTTTTCAGGAGCGTTTTGACCATAAATCAAGTCTTATATGATATACACTGTTCAACAGCAAACAGTTAATTTGGTGTCAACATTAGTTATTAAATAATAACGATTATTAAGTTGCATATTTTATATTTATTTAATTTTCTTATTGTATTATTTGAAACTTTCTAAAATAATTGTTTTTTTTATTCTAGGTTTATTGCACACTTTCAAGAATAAATTAGGGTTTGCATCAATAGGTAATTAGAATAATTATACAAAACATAAATAAAAAAACGTATATAACAGTATTGGAATTAATATAAAAAAGTTCAGCATTGATTTACCTCTATAAAATTTATCAGCGATATATCATACAACAATACCGTGTATGCTTAGTTCTTACACTATATTTTTTTTAACTGACAAAAAAAATTGTTCATGTCAATGGTATACGTGAAACAATCACAAAACAAATAGTACTATAATTTAAAAGACCCATTTGCTCTGGACTTAAAAGCAGTGAGTATTAAAAGGCATATACTTAGTTTTAACAATAAATATTTACAAGTCTGTTAGTTTTTTTTAATATCTATTTCGAATATCAACAACTACTGACTCCTTGAATGAAACTTCTCATTATGCTCCTCATAAACCTATTTCAGTTTCAAGTATAGACAAATTACTACCTACCAGTTCATCATAAGGAAAGTTGAACAAACAAATTACATTGAATGTATTATGTACTCTATTAATAACACGAGCAATACATTTTTTTTATGTGTTATATTTTTGTCATGAACACGGTAATTTTTTGTTTTTTACAGATTTTAAAGACCGCGAATTGTTAGAACTTGGAAAAGCCAGAAGAGAGTTAACTGGAAAAGTTACAAAAAAAATGCTCCAGTACATAGCACGTAAGTGTTATATTAAATTGTAATATTCACATTTATATTTTATAAATAGACATATTCTGAAAAATGGTTCAGATGAACTTGAAAGTTCCCAGAACTTTAAATGGCAGAATAGAAATGTTAATTTCTTCGCATCATTTTGAATTTACCTCTTGTCTGAAGGCACCTATTCGTTTCTATTTAATTAACATAGACAATAACACATTTTTGTTTTTTTTTTTTACTGCTCAAGTAACAAAACTAAATATGACAACTATGGAAAGTGGTTGTTGACTGGTGTATTCAATTTTAGGTTGTTGTTTAATTGTTTATTTTGGTTATTTTTCTTTAATGCCCAATGAACTTTTTGTGATCGTCAATTAACAACACATTTCAACACCTCTTTTTTCACAATCTAATCTACAACAATATAACCTATTTCATATCAATTATCCTAATAAGTGATGACTAAATTGGTCAATTGTAAATATATAATACATTTATCCACCACTTACATTTATTTACAACAATATACCAAGAAAATAACCTATTTTTTATCAAACAACTTAATACAAGATGACTATAAAGTGGTCAATTGTAAATATATAATATTTTTCTACCATTTCCATATATTTTTCTTAAAATAAAACTCATACAATCTACTACAAAGTTATATTCAACAAGGCAAAACGTCATTTTCCATTTCCAATTTTTTATTTTTAATATAAAAGTCTGTATGTTTTTAATGAATTTAATTATGAAACAAACTACGGTTTGCTTTTTTAAGGTGCATTTTATAGAATTTTTATGAATAATAGATTATGATATAAAAGTGTGTCCGGTCATTTTATCTCCATTTGAAAAAGTCATTGACTGAGAAAGTCATGGCTGTTAAATACGGACAATTTGTATATTGTGTTTATACACGAGCGTTAGTTATGGCTTACACAATAAATAAATGCAATATCTAGTAAGTTAAGTTTGGAAAATGTTTAAATAAAGCTTTTTTAATTTTTTAGACTATAACGTCGATAAAGATTTCGAAGATATTCACCAGAATTGTCGGCTAATAAGATTCCACGCAAGTATAGTACACCCGGAATCGTATGTAATAAAAATTAAATGCTATGGTGATCGCAAATGCCTATTTATATCTATAGACAAAAGTAAGGAAACAATGCCTGCTTTGGGGCACGTTACACAATGAAAGTTTGTGATTTAGCTTAGAAAATAACCATCATTAATATAGTGAAAAGTATTCACTTGGAAGCTGTTATTATAATTTAGACTGGGAATCTTAGAGTTAACTTATTAAAAAGTATGCAATACTATAGTTATTATATAAAAATAATTGTTCCAAATCGTATTTTATCCAAATTGTCAAATTTAATGTATCATGTAATAAATGTTTACGATTATAAACTCGTTTGTTGATTTTTATCGGATTGTACAAATTTGATTCTGTGAGAAAATATTTTGAAAATAGTTTCTTGATTTTTTTCATTCAACCCATTTATTGGCTTAATCTAATCCATTTAAGCCCTATGTCTCAACCACCAATCTTTATAGCTTATATTAGTTGTCTTTTTTTAAAACTTTTTTTTCCCTCATTCAGACTTAGCACGGATTAACGTGACCTCATGCCAGGAACATGAGTGTATATTTCCCGACCGTCCATAGGCTTTAACAACGGGTTCGGGAATTCACTTTCAACGTGTCTAGTTTTTTTGTGGAATTTTTTCCTTTTTTTGTGGTTAATAATTCTGGCTGTTGTTACGGCGGACGGAATTGCCTGCGACAATTACTCGAATGTCCCCGAGCATTCTCAGACTGGCAGGTGAATTCAATTAACAATGGCGAGGCGTGTACAGTATGTAAGAAAAGAGGTCGACAAAAAAAATATAGGAAAAAAATGTCAACCCCGTTGCAGTATATTTTTCAGGAACTCATTAGACCAAAGCGCCGTAGGTGTCTTTTTTTTTTTTGTCCCTCGTCGTCGCACGAACGAGTCCAATCGATACAGCGAAGCTTAAACCGCCTTTACTGTGTTCTATTCTTGTCATTTGACTTTATTATCCGGTCGCACAGTGCCTTATTTTCTTTCAATAGAAGACAGCTTGAACTTCAAACGAAATATCGATACTAAAACGTTGGCGTAACTTCATTGTCGGTAATGTTCATATTATTAATGTGTTTTCTGGTGAAATCCAATCGCATTAAAGTAATTATCTCACTACAGTCGATTATAATAATGGTCGAGCTGCCGAGTGATTTTGGATTGTTTGGTTATGGGTTTTATAGGCTTTATACGATGTGACATGATGTCGAGCGCAAAGGAACCCGCGGTAAAATTATTCCATTGTCATTTCAGAGAAACTCTGAATTAGCTGCCTGATGAGAGAGAGAGAAGAGAGAGAGCACGATGCTCCGATGTGAAACGTGGATAAACGCGTGGTCAACGAACCAATAGTCTACCGGAGGATAAATATATTGAAAATGTATGTAATAGACTTATGGCGTGAAACAAAAACGTGTCAAGATATTCGATGATTGATTTTGTACAGCTGCCACCTGCGTGTCGGGAAGATTTACCTATACTTGGTTCGGGAACGCGATGACTAAGACGTCGCAGCTAATGTAGTATCATATTGCAATAATAATTATTGTTCCGGGAAATGTCTGAACACACGTCAACCGCGGTAAAGCTCGTTTAATGGCAGTTTTGCCGGAAAATAATAAATAACATCCACCCCGGCTTAGTCGTGGTCGTGTACAACCGAACAGGTGTTTGTGTATATTTTATTAATCGCCGGGACCTGCCGTTATTATTCAGACGAGTTCCATCGATCAGTCACGTCAAACGCGGCCATATATACATAACAATAAAGTATAATATACTAGCTACTATTAATATTATACCCGTGCGTGTGTGTTTGTGTGTTATACACAACACACGCCGGCGTGCATAATAGTATAATGTACACGGTTTTTGTGTACATACACTGCATTATATCGGCCGACAATGATGATGACGATAGTGATTGATCGACAATTGTTATTGGAGAGATAAGCGCCACCCGAGTACAAAAAGCCAAACATTTGCACGCGAAACGAGCTTTTGTAGCTTGTACTGAACTAAATAATAATAATAATAATGATAATACGGGCTGTGAAGTATTTCCCGGCCTAGGACGTTGGCATGGCTTAAACGTACTAGGTAATCGCATATCTCCATCAACATGGTGTTCGGTGATAAAAACCAAATTGCAGTATCAATATTTAACATTTCTCATAAATCAATTTTCGTGGTTCGCCAGGAAAGTAAGTGCCTAACTAACAAATTCATTCGACTATCCTTATGTATATCCTAACATATCCTAATGTATCCTAATATATCCTTATATATCCTAATATATCCTAATATATCCTTTTATCTTTATATATCCTTATATCATTATAACCTAATTAGGAGTACCTTTTTTGGAGTACCCAATCTCTTATCTCTAATAAATAATCACTTACAACCGCTAGAGTACCTAATCTCTTATCTCTTTTATCTTATCTCTCATCTCTTATCAGATGATTATTTATCAACCGCTAGATTGCGCTACAAGCACATATGTTCTACGGTAACGTTCAGCGTGATGCACAGATTTTCTTATTGACCCCCAGCCAAAAGACACATCCATGACAAAAACGATTGGTTTTCAATTATTTAAATATTAATCGTTTACAACGTTTCACGACGATTCGAATTGTCTAATAGCAACCATGTTTGTCAACGTTACTAGCTTTTTTAAAATTTCCTATTTTCTTTAAAATTTCCTAGTCTTTCTGGTTGGTAATTTTTAATTAAATTTGCTTTGCGTGCCCATAAATAACACTGCAACGTTTTCGTTGCTTCAATAGATGGAATTTTAAGTGGTTTAATTTTAAATAAATTATAGTATTTGCGGGTAACATAATACTATGTTTGTTTGATTTCAGTCCGGTCATTTTTTTTGCTTTATACAACATACTTTGTGCGTGCCTGCCGGTTGGTCATATACATTTCATGTAGCTTAATGAAATGTTTATTTTGGTTGGTCTTTTTTAAATTAATTTGTTTCATTACACGCCGTGGTAGCTATCTTTGCAGATGTTTGCCACTATATCGTGTACATACAAATATATAATACTATGTTAATAATTAAAATAGCGAAAAGCAAAAAAGGCAAAAGCGATTCCTGTACTATTGCATACTAATAGAGTCAGTGGCAGCGTTTGTTTAGGATTTATTAACTAATGCGTTCTACAGCCACAACCGTTGTGTGAGTTATACATATATTATATTATTATATTGTACAAAACAAATTGCTTTTGACGATTTTCCACAAAACGGCCGTTCGCATAATGGATACTGTTATAGCGTGAATAGTATATAGAGTAGTTAATGTAAAATCAATAACGCTATAATTAATCATCCGCTAATTATTATGGTCGCGGTTGCGAAACGCGCCGTACCATTCACCGTTGAACAAAATCTGTGTAAAGGATCATTTGTGATTTTTAATTTAACATATTATGCTGCTCGCCGAATTTGGGGTTATTTGTGGTCTACACGAACTCGGTGTGTAATCATTGGCTGTACTCTCGGTACTTGCATTAACGCCGTTTGCATTGCAATAATTATTATATATTAGAAAGTATCCAATCTCATCTGGTATGCTACTACGGAAATTCGCTGAAACTAGGCATGTGCAACACGTGAGAGTGAAGTAACACAGCCAACAGATATGGGAAAAATTGTTTTAACTGTTTATGTGACACTGATTTAATGACTTTCAGTCGTTATAATTCCTGTAGATCCGAGTGTTACTTCTTACATCCCAATATGCTCTGTCTCCGCCATGCTCGACTGCATTCTTTTGGATTTTATCGCTATTGGCAGAGTATTGCTTTGAGCAGGATAAATATTAGCACATAACGTCCACCGTAGAAAAACTTCATTGCAAACCCGAAAGTGATTAAGTGATTATACTTTTCCGTCGCGACCCCTTTAGATTCTTAATAATGGTCTTTTCTTTTCGTTTGTCATCTCCCGTGATCGAGATGAAGATGTACAGTGCAGATAGATAGATAGCGGCGATAAAAGCTTAACGATAAAAAAAACAAAAAAAAACTAACGCGGCGAATATTTGAATATATATTCAATATTAACTCTTAATGGTGCGATGGCAAAAAAAAAAAAATTGAATTGAATCACAATAGTAAGTATCTATATGCTTCAATATGAACTATACGAAAAGCTGTTTACATTTTACTTTAGGAGGCATGTTTACTGAACTTATTAGATAAGTAAATAATATTAATTTAGTATTAATTGACAATATATGGTCTGTGTGAGAAATAAATAGATTTCTTCGTTGTAAATTAGTCATTCAATCATTGTGAAAACAGTACCTTATCTGCTCGAAGCATCGAAGAACACTCTTATAAAAATTTAACAAAGGCAATTATCCGATTTTGATTAAATCGGATCCTTAGAATTACAGTAAATGGACAATGGTAATAATTGTAATAGAGAATATATTTAAATGTTTTCATCTAATTCCAGATCATTGAAACTTTATTAATAATTTATTAAAAAATGTTGACTGGTCAATAACCAGTTTGGAGTGTAGCTTTTTAAATTTCAGCAAATTGTTCTTGTTGTAAAAATTAATTACAAATGTTAGTATCTTCCCAGATTAGTATTTTCATAGTATATCAAAAAAAATGTTCTTAATAGGACAAATTACAAAATTAAAATTGTTTCAAAAGGAATTTAGTGGCTTGCGTCGAACGAATCACCCTGACCAGTGGGTAATAAAATAAAACCATTATTGGTTATTGCGAGCAGAGGATTGGGCTGGGAATAACATTGGGATGCAACAAAACACAACGGCGTGCAGGTCATTGGATACAATAATAATTATAAACCGTACCCGGTGCGGCCGTCAGCTGCTGGCCAAGGGGAATATAAACCACACATGACTTGAGCCCACGTGTCGGTTTTGTCTGGGGATGAACAAAAAAAAATGCCACTGAAAATGTTTTTAATGTCAATGAAGACCCCGAAAACGGGCGAAATGTGTTAATACAACAACAGCACTAATGACGGTTATTGTGCGACATCTGTGTGTTTGTTATTATTTTTTGGGTCGACACTTTAGCGACTCAAAATTTCGGCAAAGCGGTTAAAGTCGGTTATTATTATTATTACTTTTTTTTTTGTCTTAAGCCCTACTGCAGCCGGTTCAGTACCCGCACACAACAACCGTACACTGGGATCACTCGGGAACTTTTATTTTCACAACAAAAAAATTCTTGAACAATCTAATCTATTCCTCCTCCTCTTATTTTTCTACCTTTATTAAAGGTCTATGTAAATATTCAGGTGATACGGTTCTTTAACAATGATCATTTAGAGACTTAGTGTTAGAGGTAACATAACCTGAATGGAGTTTAATGTTGAGCGACTACAAAAAATTGTGTTATTTTTCAACGCATTATTGTGTGCTAAAATCCGAATTTGCAAAACTGTCTATGCGGTTATGTATTGATTCAGAAAAGTGTTTTGTGTACACAGTGTACTCGTTTGTTGTTCACATCGATACGAAACTTAAAAAATAAGACAGTAAGAAAAATGAAAACATTTGTGTGTTTTTACAAGGTATTTTATATACTAATAACGTATTCATGAGTAAGAAACTTTATAAAACTACGTTATTTTCTATTAAATTAATGAAGAATTATTTTATACTAGAGAAATAAAAATGCCCTTAACCCCTTTGGAATGATTTCCTCGGAAGTGTTAATATAGGTAACACTTTTCTCTATACGACCACTAAAGATTAACAGAAAATAAAAAAAAGTAAAAGTCGAGTGAATCGGACTAGTTATTTTATTTACACATTTTTAAGTATTATATAAAAATTATAATACAATTTTTTTTTTCAAGTACATAATGAAATTTATTTTTTATTTACTAAACTTGTTTTATATTAAATAATTAAACAATAAATATGCTAAAATATTTTGTTAATATAACATGATTTATTCGGTAAGTTCATTTAGGTTAAAAGAAAGTTTAAATGCTGTAATGCTTGACTTTATTTCGAAATTGTGAGTTTCCATAAAAATACATTTAATTTTCCTATCTGTGTCCATTGTCCATCTATACTATGATACAACTACAATCAACTGGTAACAAACGCAACTTAATTGAAATAAAAGTCAATTTTTACTAAATACCTACACATTTAGTTACACATAAGTACTATTATTGATAACATTTTTTTTCTTTTACAACTGAATTTCTACTATTCGGTATATTATTTCTTGACAATCAGTATAAAGATATAAACCTATTTTCAAAACCACTTAGAATCGAATTTGTGTACAGATAAAAAGCAACAAATGAGTTTATAATCATGAGTAAAACGGTTTATTATAACATACATAAAATTTGATAATTTGGATACAAGTGAGGTTTGGAATAATAATTTAAATATAATAACAATAGTTCTTTATAATTTTGAATAAGTTAACAATAAGATTCGTGATCTAAATTTAAATAACTGAAAAGCAAGTGAAATCTTTTTACTTTATTAATGATGTGTTTATGATAGGTCAAGCCCAAAGACACTGACTTCGTGTAATTTGTTGTCTATACCAGTTAGATGACACTTATTACCATTATTAACTTTAGCTTCTACTATAAACTCATTTGGGTGTAATATACTTCTGTACACACCCTTCAATCGACATATCATTTCAAAATTGTCTTTATCTTTACTGTCGGGACCTTTAAAAATAAAAAAGGTATATTCAAAAATTTGCCAATTTTTAACTTATTAGTCTTATATGCTGATAAAAATAGCTCTACGCGCTTACTCTACCGCACTCCACCTCCCATCATACCATTTAACCTTTAGTAACTTAAAAAGTTATTATCCAAAGCTGGTTATCGACCAGCAAAATATTCTTAATAAACTGGCTATATTGAAAGTAAAATAGTTAAGTGCAATAAAAAACGCGGTGCTTATAGCGCTAATGAGTATAAATTAATAAAAAAAAATCTTAAATATATTCACTAGTACAAAAGTTATTTAATTTGTCGTCGAATCATTGTGAACACCCTGTATATATATATATATATATATAATAAATTAAAATATTGCAATTTGATGTAATACTTACTTTGTGTAACACCGATAGATAGTTGTACAGCAATGCGAATTAGTTGTTTTCTCTCTTGTTCAAGTTTTAAAAAGCTAATCGAGTCAAATGTATCTGTATAATTTAATAAAAAACCGTGTGTTAAAAAAATAGTTTATAAGAATAATATATAATTCTCATGTTATTAATGTAGTACAATTAAGTTGTTGTTAAACTGTTCTTATAATGAACTAGTTGTAAGTAATTTTCCTATACTTATGTACTTATTTAAAAATTATATGCCTTGTAAACAATTACTACTTCCCTAAGCAATATGTTTTTTTAAATAATATTACAGTTTGTTTCACATATGCCGTTGAACAATTTCTTTTACTTTTTACAATTAAAAAAATATAACGTAAGAATAATATTCAGCATTGTCGCTAAGCAAAGATTTATCACTGGTTATTTTGCATAGAGATAATTAAACGCTTCATTTTTTTACGGTTTTTTTAAGCTTTATATTTATGATTTTAATTCACAAGCCTGGAAAACCAAACAGTTCACCAGATAGCTATAGACCTATTAGTTGATTACCTACCCTCTCCAAACTATTAGAAAGGATACTGCTACACAGATTAAAACCATACCTAAAAATTATTCCACTTCACCAATTCGGCTTCAAACCTCACCACTCCACTTGTCATCAACTACAGCGAATCTCAGAAATAATAGTAGTTGGATTTGAAAATAAAAAATACACAACCACTGCTTTCTTGACGTTGCACAGGCCTTCGACAAGGTCTGGCACCAAGCCTCATGTCCAAATTAACAAAACTAAAACTGCCAACCTATCTATATAATATAATATCATCATTTATCACAAACCGTACGTTTAAAGTAAGAATAGATACTGATACCTCTGAAGAACACCCGACAAAAGCAGGGGTCCCACAGGGGTCAGTCCTTGGCCCCACCTTATTTAATATTTATTGCTATGATATCCCAGTTCCACAAAAATGCCAATTAGCCATGTACGCAGACGATACTGTTATCATAACACAACATAAAAATCTCGAAAACTCAATATCAGATCTACAAATTTCTTTGGACCAAATTTCAGACTGGTTTACAAAATGCAAACTCGCTCTTAACCCAACTAAGAGCGAAGCGAAAATATTTACCTTAAAGAGATATACAAATCCACCTCAATTAAAAATCGAAAATCAGCCTATATTATGGATCAATAAAGATCAATCAATTAAATATCTTGGAGTTTACCTTGATGAAAAATTAACATGGAAAATGCACATAAATAAAAAATTAAACCAAGCCTACACACGATTGAAAATCTTATACCCCCTAATTAATTACAGCTCTACACTTCAGATCAAATGCTCACTACTAATATACACTTCAATAATAAGACCTTTAATAACATATGCATGCCCTATATGGGCAGCCGCATCCCAAACAAAAATTACAAAATTACAAACGATACAAAACAAATTTCTCAGAATAGCTCTTAAAGCCCCATGGTATATGCGAAACACACAACTCCACAACGACACTAGAATACCATACCTAACCACATGGATAAATGAACAATTTAAAAAATTTCATTCGAAACTAAACACAATAGAAGAGCCCTTCACTTCAAAATTGGGAAAAGAACCAAAAACCGCCGACTAAAGCCACGTCTCCCACAAGATATCTTACTACCTCCAGAATCACATCGTCATCTTCATCATCGGTATCATCAGATTAATGACCTAATTAAAACAACTCATAATTTATGTACAATTTGCTAAATTAAAATAATTTATAAATTATTTTTTACTCTATTATGCCTACCTAATTATGTAACTTATTAAGTAATATATTGTAAAAACAAGATTATGTTGAAACAATTAAAATATAATAAATAAAAAAAATATATATATATTTATGATTCATATAATTATAATAACTACCAATCGATACACTTGTACAAGGCAAACATCTCATTGCTGTACGTACTAGACCTAGTAAAAACAAATAATGAGTTAAGCTATAAAAAAAGTTCAAAAAAAAATTAGCATAAATATAAATAAAATATACAACTTAATAACCGGGGTTATTTAATAATAATAGGTCGACACTATCTTAAAATGTAACAAGCAAATGGATAGCAGCAAGTAAATAATGATGGTTCTTGTTAAAATTCACTTTCTGCTATTGGACGGTGTATATAAGACTTGACTGACGGTCAAAACTCATAACGCTAACGCGGTAGTAATGTCAAAAAAATTTGAACAAATTTTTCAAAATACAAGAAAAACTCAAAATATATTGGTAATGAAATATGAAATGAATAATTAAAACGTAACTAGCAATTGTATCTATATTATGCTTTGGAATGAAGTTATGGAGGACCTATAAATCTATTAACACATATTTGGCTAACATATTTCAGATTAAGAATAGTATTTTACCTAATAACAAATAACGCACAATCATTTAATTACAATAAAAAAACTTAGGGTTATGTTTTGTGGTTAACGTAATTACCTTTTTCAGAAACAGAGACACCTGTAACGAAAATATTAAATATTTGTACAGTAAATGAAAACCAGTTATATGTTTTAACTATAATAGTATCTAAAACTACATTTATTTAGACTAGTTATTAAGCATTTGAACAATGATTATACTTCGAACAATCATCGAAACTTCTAGTAAAAAAACATAAATCTTTAAGAACCCAAATCAAATTTTCATAGATTTTGCTTAAAAATCATTTTTGAAATTTTTATTTTAACAAATTACTATATTAATTACCTAACTGGGTGTTTATTTCTTTTTGAAATTCATTCTGGGAATTTATGCATTCTAAAATTAAAAAAAATATTTATTAATTTTTACAACATTTTTGTACACTTTTCCTTAAAATAGAAGTACATATGTAGGTACATAACAAAAATCTGAATTTATATAAATTGTGCATGCATTTCTATGTAATGATTCTAAATTTAAAATGTTCAAGCAATTGTAAAGTAATGTAATTACGCTGCAGTATTTTATTGTAGTTTTCATTGCGTTCATCCATATCAATTGCCTTTGCTGAAATTTAAACGAGAAAATTATATACTTATATCAAACAACTATGTTCAGACACGTCCATATATTTGAGAAAAAATATTACCCGTGCAGCAAACATATACGATAGTCTCACTAAAATTTGCATAACACAAACGTATTAGAGGTATGTAACTAACTATAACACTTTCAAATACTGTAATAATTATATTTACCCATCGGTTTATCTTCACGAGCAAAGTTTTGAATTACCGTTATCAAATGCGCTAGAATAAACAAATAATGAGTTGAGGTAACAAATAAATTCAAATAATAAGTGTACGTACCACTACGATGTTTTTTTATATCGTTCAATTGTCTATCTGTAATAAATTAATTTAAATAAATCTATGCAAACATTTAAAGTCAAAGGTTAATTTGATTGCAAAAAAAAAAAGATGACCAACTTGTGTTGACAAGCTCCCTTTTATATTCAACTGCGAAAAAATTAACTATTAGATTTTTAATTACCTCTAGTAGGTAGTGTAAAAAATAAAATAAACAATAATTACTTTTTTTATCTGCTAAAACATTTACAACAACGAGTAAAATTAAAACACAATAATGTTTCATTTTTATCTGCAAAAAATAATAAACATAATAGCCTTTTGTATTAGACATAGTCTTCAATTATTAATTATTGGTTCCGATGCGAAACTGAGAAAGGTTTTTGTTTAAAAATAATTAATTTTAATCACTAAACCAATATTTTGATGTAGATTATCTGTAGATAAGAAATTGTACCTAAGAGGTATTTCTCAGATAAAATGGTCAAAATAAAATAAATTAGTCAATACAAATTTGGAATTAATTTGATTATTTTTAAAAATAATTTATAGAGCTTCATACTTTTAAGGTTTGAGGGTTATCTTGATTTTAAAGGAAAAGGGGTAACTTATTTAACTTTTTTTAAAAATTAATAAAAACACACCGTTGAAAAAAAAATATCTTTTCAGCTTTGCATCAATGTTAACATCAAATTATGCTTAGTGTGAATTACAAAACATGAAATGTTTGAAGTGTTTTTATTTGATAGCATTAAATCCAAATAATATTTCATATCAATTGACAGTTATTTGGACTATTTTTAAAATAATGATTTTTATAGAGCGCTGATCATATTACAAAATAAAATGTACATTTTTAGTAAACTTATTAAATTAAAACAAATTCATTTTTTAAAGGCTTGCTTATTTTTCCTTATTTTAATTTGAAGCATATACAAATTTTTAAACATTTTTTTCTTGATATCGAAGGAAACTTTTTAAATATTTTGTCAAGTTTTAGGCAAATTTTAGGTTATGTCTCTGATCTAAATATTACACAAAGGGCACAAGGGAAAAACGGCAGTAGTTATATAATGAAAATTTTAGAGTACAGCAGAAACATAGTTTATGATTTCCTCTCCCTCTTACATAAGAACAAAAAACGTCTCATTAAATACTATTATAATAATAAATGTATTTATTTAAACAATATATTGACATAAATAAAAACAATTAATGGCATAATTAAAAAAAAACTATTTGAAAAAAAAAATGTTTTTAATGTGACTACTACCGTTTTTCCCCTGTGCCCTTCATATACTACACGAATAAAAAGGTGTACTACTCGTATTTCAATAATATATAACAATAATTATTTATAGAGCGTTAATCAAATTACAAAACAAAGTGTATAGATTTCAAAAACTTTGTTTTTCAAAGGTTTGCCTATTGTTCCTTATTTTAAGTTGAACTGTATACACATTTTTTAAAAATTATTTTTTCCTGATTTTGAATGATAATTTTAAAATATTTGGCAAAATAAAACAAATTTTAGGTTAGCTTCCTGATCTATACAAAACACGGTGTACAATTTCTGTACTATAATATTAATGAAATTAGCCTAGTGGTTAAAAGTTTATCGCAAATCTAAACACGAAAATAAAAAAATAGTAATTGAGAAAAACTAATAAAAATGCATTAATTACTTACTAGTTCTGGAATTTTGGTAGAACTCTTGTGAACTTGTATGTTAAAACAACCGTTTAAAAGTGATTTGTTTTGTGGTTTTTTCCCGAACCAGTAAAATCGTTATAGGTTTTGCAATACGCAAGTATATTTCATGTATACAGGTGTAAAGGAAGGTTTAAGCTATTGTTTTTATATTTCTACACAGCACTGTGTAATATTACTCATATGTTGTTCTCATCGATACGAAACTTAAAAAATAAGACATTAAATAAAATGAAAATAGTCGTGTGTCTTACACATAACACTCCAAGGTCTTATATATGCTAACTCATTTGATAGTAAGAAAAATTTGGGTACATAGTCCATTATCAAGTGTCAATTGTTGCTCACGTCGATGCGAAACTTGAAAAATAAGACCTTAAAAAAAAAAATGAAAATAGTGGTGTGTTTTACACATAATACTTCAACAGTTTTTCATATCGATACGAATTTAATGTAAATACGATCCAAAAAATATGTTTTCTAGATTTGTGTTTTTTTACACACTTTATCGTTTGTTGTAATATACAAGCACTTTTCATACAAGTCAAATTCAGAGTATAAAATAAAACATAATGTATTTTACAATTTGAACCCTAAATTTGGGCCTCTGGTTAAAATATTCTGCAAACGAACAAGAAAATAACCGTTCTATTTGTCACAATTTCCAGATACAATAAAAAATATATAATTATATATTTTTTTATACAGTTATTATAGTATGCATAATGAAAGGTTCTCCACTTCTGAGTGGTGTTTTAGCCTTACTAATTACTAAGGAAGAGATAGTTTATACATTATATTCATTGATATATAACACTTGAACTAAGCCTTAAGAGGTCAAGTTAATGTCATAAAACACTTCTTAGTTAAGTCTAATTAATAAACGGGAAAACATTTAAAATATGTAACTTTAACCAATTCGTTGGTAATATAACACACTATATACTAAACTTGTTTTGTATTATTAATACTCCAAAAATATTACTAATTGCCCGAAACTAATAGAAATTGTTCAAGTGTACCTTACTATATTAGGTGAAAAAAAAAGAATTATACAGTAGTCTAAACTATGTTATTCAGAAAAACCCATAATTTGAGGGTAGTTCTGTTTCTTCAAATTTCTTAAAAAAGAGTAATTTAAATAATCTCCTATGCTGCCTAGACTTTCTTTAAAATTAATAGCATTAAATGAGTTTATTATTTATTCAATCAATTCACAAATGGAATATTTTTTCGCACTTTCAGTCAGTTGTTATTGTAAAAATGTTTAACTTTGATGCTTCTTTACAGTTTACATGCATGTACTTGTTTTGCCCTTTTATTGCGCCGTTTAATGTACAGATAGTGAATAATCGAAAATTAAAAGTCGAGTGAATCGAAATAGTTTTATTTATTTACAAATATTTAAGTATTAAATTATAAAATTAAAATACAATTTTTTTTTAGTACAGAATGGAATTTACTTTCATACATTAAATTTGTTTAATAATCTCACCAAGAAGCATACGTTTTTCGATTCTTGTAATATTGTGTTACTTCAATTTGTGTTTGTTCGGTAAAATAATAAACTAGTCTTGAGTCTACACCAAAATAATATAATACCTTCCGAAATCGCAGAACAGAAAGAAATCCTAAAGTGTTGCATTTCAAATTGTTAAAGTCTTGAAATGGATCCAGATCTTGTGAGTAATTTTACTCTTCCAAAAGATCCGTTCAGGTTAGCCATTTCTAAACGTTACACATTTCAAAACGGATTTTTGTATTTATTTTATTTTAAACAATTTTTAAATAATAATCAAGTTTTAATTAGTTTTTGTTTAAAAAAAAATGTGTGTTTGATGGCTCCAAAGAATGCACAATAGAGAGCTTAAAAAATAGGACGGTAAGAAAAATGA